GGGGAGGAGGAGGAAGAGGAGGAAGAGGAGGAAGGAAGAATGAAAGAAGGAGGAGGAGGAGAAGAAGAAGAAGAGGAGGAGGAGGGGGAGGAGGAGGAGGAGGAGAGAAGACTTGAGGGGGGGGAACCTTCCATTTGGCTGAGGTTCAACACGAAGAGGTGAGATAAGCCCCCCTCCCTCCCTTCCCGCCAGGCTAGTTGTTTTCAATTTCTGAGCCCCAGGCTGGCCCCAAGCCAATCCCTCTTAACCGTGGAGGGGCTAAAGTTCCTTGGGACGAGGAAAGCCTCCTCTTTGCTGTGAGTTCAACTTTAAGTTCCAAGGCTGGGTCACCTTTGGAACCTTCTGATCGGATTTAAGAAGTCCTGGGGGCAGCTGGGATTTTCAAAGTTCCTTCCTCCTCACCCCCTAGACCATTAAGTCTTGAGATAGCATCTCTCCAGGGTCTGGAGGTGTGTGGGTACAATTGTCCAAGGAAAAAGACTGAATCTGCAACTTGGGGGGGTGGCTTGTATCTTTGGACAAGCTGGAGAGTTTGAACTCTTTTTTTTTTTTTAAATTTTATTATTACTTTTGGTCTACCTACCGTGGAGAAGTTGGCGTTTGGATTTTGGGTGTTTGTCTGGTGCTCAGCCTGCTCAGACTTTGGAAATCTTATCTTACACGGCTCAAGGTAATATTCTACTTTTTCAAAGCTTGGTTTGTCTCTGTTGTTGTGTTTTCTATAACCTTTGGCCCGGCTAATTGCCGAACAAGTTCCCTTTTGGAAAAAAAGAAAAGAAAAAGAAAATACAAATTCTTAAAGCTCTATCACCATCCTGACCATCCATTGTTAAGCATGAATTTTTGCCCAAAAAGACAATTTGGATATCTTTCTAAAGGGAAAGGCCGCATGAGACGTGAGCCAAATAATAAAAGAAACATGGATTTTTTTTTCTCTCTCTCTCTCCTTCTCAATAATCATTAGACTTTTTTTCTTTGTTAATTCACAAGAGAAACTATTCCAAGTTCTAATAAGAAGGTCTTTCTTATTTTTTTTCCTTCTTCTTGGGAAATCAATCAATCAAGAATAATATGGCTCTCTCTCCCCAGCGAGATTTTCTTAGCAACAAAATTCTTAAGAAGAAAGGTGGCAATTGTATAGTGTAGAGGTTTTTTTTCTCCCCCCCCCCGCCAGTCTGTGTTCTTTTAAAAAACTGATCACGAGGGAGACTTTACCTTGTCAACTCCCAGCCTATTTCTCTCCATTTAATAGAGGTGCTTATGTTAAATCTACAAGCAGCTGAAAAGACGAATGCTTTGTTTCCTTTCATTTTATACAGCCTTTTTTTTCTTTTTTCTTTCCTTTCGCTTAGCCTGCATTGTTGCCTGGGTAGGAAAAACATTTTTCCAAGGGCCCAGGAAAGCCGCGCTTACAATAGAGGAGGTAAAAAAGGTATTTCATCAAGAGGCCATTGGCATTAAGAGTGGAGTGGGGGGGAACCCTTAATCACCCTGATTTCACAGCAAACGAGGCATCTAATTGTGACACGGTTTTGATTGCTTTTCCTTTTTAATAAAAGGACAATTTATGATCCTTCCAGGTCACATTGGCTCTCTGGTTTGGAAGTGAATTATACAGGGGTCTTTAAAAATTTAAAAAAAACACGCACACAGATCTTCCATCTTGGCTCTGAAACTCGGCAGGGATCGATCAATCGAGATTTTTTTTAATAGCTCTTTTAAGAAATGATAAATTGCAAGGCAGGGCCAGGGGGCCAGACTCAATCCAAGGTTTGCAATTGGATGGAGACAGATCCGAGATTGGCAGTTTGAGTTCCTCCTCTCCCGAAGAACCTTTGAATCTTGGCTAGCTATTTTTGTGAGATTTTCGTAGGACTCCCAAACTTCTTCCCTACCCCCATGGACCAACCTTACAGCTTCCTCAGCCTTTGCTTTTCCTACCGATCAAATTACACTTGCAATGGCTGCAACTGCCTTAAAGTCTAAAAAG